TGGCATGGAGATTGTGATCAAAGCGGTCATGCAAGCCATTCCCACTTATATTATGGGTGTATTTAAACTGCCTATGTCTGTTTGTATGTGACGACCTCAAGAGAATGGTTCGGAATTTCTGGTGGGGAGCGTCTGAGGGCAAGAGGAAAACTGACTAGTTAGCTTGGCCAAAAAAATTGGTGCACAAAACTCATGGCGGATTGGGCTTCATGGACTTCAAGGTTTTCAACCAAGCTCTAACCAGCATGGCGGTTGCTAACCAAGCCTAATAGTTTGTGTGTGCAGGTACTAAAAGCTCGCTACTATCCCGATGGCCGCCTTGAGGACACGGTGTTCTCCAGAAATATCCCCTACCTGGCAGGCTATCCAGCATGACTTTGAGCTCCTGAAGAAGGGCCTCATCTGGCATGTTGGCGATGGACATCACATCGCATCTGCCATGATCGCTCGGTACCCCGGGAGCCATCGCGCCAACCCATCACACAGCAAGGCACCTGCCGGCTGAGGAGAGTAGCAGAACTTCTGGACGATGAAGGGTCCTGGCGCATGGACTTGTTTTGACGCTATTTCCTCCAGGTGGACATTGACGCGATCACCAGCACATCGCCTCGCATCCCCGACGATAGTATTGCATGGGCGCCAGAAAAGAACGGTATCTTCACCGTTCAATCTGCCTACCGCTTTGCGATGGACGAGCGCGAGCGTCCATAGGCTACTACGATGAGCAGGCCCCGGATGGTCGTCACGCCATCTGTAAGATCATATGGGGGTGCCCTGCTCCCCCTAAGGTACGCATATTTGCATGGAAAGTGGTGACCAACTCGTTGGCTACATGGGCCAACAAATTTTCTCGTCATCTTGAGCTTACTGACATCTCTCCCCTTTGTGGTGTGGAACGAGAGGACGGGTTCCATGCGCTTTGCAGAAGCCCACTTGCTACAGATTTGTGATGTGCCATGGAGGTAGATTGGCCCATCCCGAAACTTGAAGCAATATGTAATAATGGGCCGGAGTGGTTGTTTACTCTCCTGGACCCCCCTGGATGATACAGCGCAGATGGTGGTGCTCATGACCATGCGGTGATCCTGGCACATCCGCAATGAGATAACGCATGGGAAGGGGTCACCACCCACAGAAATCTCTCGCCGCTTTCTTCCTGGGTATATAAGCTCGCTATTATACATCCATCAATACCCTCATGGTGATATGGAGAGGGGAAAGATGGTGCTGCATGTGAACCGGCCGGCTACAGCCCCGAGCGCCACCTCGCAACAGGAGCTGCGGTGGATTGCCCCGCCGGGCTGAACGAAGCTAAACACCGATACAGTAGTATTGTAGAACATGCGTATTGAATGTTATAAAACTCTATCTATATATTTAAAATATTCATACTGTACCATGATAAGTATGAATATTACATATTTATTAACTTACTGTATAATTTTATTTATCCCCCAAAAAAGGTCGGTCTTATCGCTATAAAAAACCAAAAGAAAAAAGGAAAAAAAAAACTAAGAGAACTAGCGAAGAAGCGAATTGATTGAAGGTACCGAGCGCAGCTTGGAGGGAACTAACTGCCCAGCCCAGTACTTTAGCGAGCAGGGAAACCTTTTGGCGAGCCGGGCATACATCTTGCTATAAGCGAGATATAGTCCTGGCATCACGGAAGAAAAAATTGATTTTTGATATCAGTGTACACCACATATGCTATAACTCCATGAAATTTCACCGATAAAGGGTTTGTGGTAGTCCATAGAGAGCAAAGTTTGAGGCTAATAAAGTCATTTGGATCACCATGATGGATGTTTTCTCTTGGCAAATTTTTGTACACAATTAGAACACATTTGATGTTCATTGAAAAAAAATCAGATTTTTAATATATATTTTTTGGATTTTACCGCTGATGCGGGCATACATCTCCCTCTTTCATACCCCGTGCGTTGCTGCGAGAAAAGTATTAATTTATTCTGCTAATGTGCAAACTTTATTCTGCATGTTGCATAATTGCAACCAACCACGTGCTTGTACTATGTAGCAAGCACCAATTAACTAGGCGGTTGGTGGGGGTTGATAGTCGGCGAGGTACGGCATGGTGTTGAGCGCGTTCTCCACGAGCGTACCCACCATTTCCCACACCTGCTTCTCCCTCGCCCACTCCTCGATCACACCGCTGATGTCCTCCTTGACGTCGTACCTCATGGTGCCGATAAGCTCCTCCGTGGTCGGGCCCAGGTCAACCGTGTCGAGTATGAACTCACCGTCGTCACCGCCAAGCACGCGCACCAGACTGGGGCCGCCGAACAGGTTGTGCTTAGAGGACAAGGCCTCCTGGTACGCGCCGGAGAGGAGCACGGCCACGTAGTAGCCGCCGAGCACGGGGTCCAGCGGGTGCAGCGGCAGCGTCTCTGCCCCGCCGATGAATCTCTCGATCTTCCCGTCGCTGTCGCAGGTGAGGTCGACGAGCGTGGCCATGCGGGTCGGCCTCTCGTGGAGCCGGCTCACCGGCATCATCGGGAACAACCGCTGGATGCCCCAGAAGTCCGGGATCAGCGAGAAGACGGACAGGTTCATGTGGTAGGTGTAGATGGTTGTCGCGTCGGCCATGACGCTCTTGGGGAGCTTCTTCCCCAGCTTGTACATCTCGGTGCCGTGCTTTTTCATGTCCAAGGCGCGCGCAGAGGATATGGTGGACATGCCCGTTGCTGCGTCACCCTTCAAATTGAGTAGCGCCCTCGGCTGCTGCTTCGAGACCAGCTCATGGATCTTGGCGTGCAGCTGCTCGGTGGTCTCGCCTTCGTCTCTCGGCTCGGGGATCGCAGACGCGGAGAGCGCCTCGAGGATGATCATGGAGTGGTGCGACGCCATGGCGTGCCCGCTCTCGGTGCAAAGCACGGGGTGGGGAACGCCGTTGTCGTCGCACCTGAGCCGCACTGCCTGCACGATGCTGGACGCGTACTCCTCCAGCCCATACGCCACCGACATGTCGGAGTTTCCCGATCGTGTCCCGTCGTAGTCGACGCCGAGTCCACCGCCGCAGTCCAGCGTGGTCATCCCCTCCGCGCTACAGTCGTTCACGAGGGCGCAGTAGATCTCGGCGGCCTCGCTGGCCGCCTTGAAGACGATGTCCGTGGACGGGATCATGGAGCCGACGTGGAAGTGCAGCAGCTTGAGCCAGTGCAGCTTATTAAGAGCCTTGAGCTTCCGTGCCACCTCGTAGATCCTCTCCGCCAGGAGCCCGAACTTGCCGTGCTTGCCGGCCGTGGACCCGAAATGGCCCGGTAACCTGGTGAGCAGCTTGGCACGAACACCAATGGCCGGCTCGACGCCGAGCCGCCTGCTCTGCTCGATGACGATGTCGAGCTCCTCCTCCATCTCCAGCACGATGATGGCGTTGAGGCCCATGGCGCGCGCCGCCAGGGCGAGCGCGACGTAGTCCTTGTCCTTGTAGCCGTTGCACACGAGGTAGGCGCCAGGCTTGGCCCTGGTGAGGCAGCTCATGGCGATGAGCAGCTCCGGCTTGGACCCGGCCTCGAGCCCGTAGCCGTGCTGGTGGCCGAAGCGGAGCCGGTGTGCTTGATGGCGGTCGCGAACGCCGCATGCAGCTCGTGGAGCCGGTGCCGGAGCACGTCGGGGAAGCGGAGGATCATGGGGAACTGGAGCTTCCTCTTTTTCTTGTCGTCGCGATCGGTGGTCGTCGTGGCTGCGGCTTGGTTGATGACGGAGAGCAGGTCGATCTCCTGGCCCGGGGCCGTGTCACGGCCGTGGGGTCGGACGCAGAGGTGGCCGTTCTTGTTGACGGCGAAGTAGGGGTCGCCCCAGCGGTGGATGTTGTACACTCCGCCGTAGTTCTTGGCCATGATGCAGTCCCGGCCCGATCGACGAGAAAAGAGAGGGCAGGTGAATTTTGTTACCGTGCCGGTGAAGACTGCTGCGTGGAATTCGGGCTAGACCTTCCTCAGTTATATAGAGGTCTAGCTTTTTTCTTTTTCTTTTTGAGGAAATATAGAGGTGTAGCTAGAGGAACGAAAATGGCGTTTTGTACCCATGCATGGAGGAGGCCTGATTAATGGTCGGCGTGGGCCTGGTACCACCGTACGTCTCGGGTGTGAAGTCGTGGAAGTCATGCATGCTGGACCGTAGCAACTCGCGGTGTTTGCCTCGTGGAAAAGCCTTTCACGTACGTAAGTGTCCATCTTCCCAGTATAGTACTATGTACTACCGCCTTATTGTGTCTTTCAAATGGAGCGAACCAGACTGTATTTGTATGGTTAGAAGGATGGTTATATCCCTAGCCCATCGATCAGGGTTTGAATCTTGCTGTTCACACTATTACAGAAATTTACTTGTGGTGACTTCGTAAATTTCAACATGATATACCGGCTCAGTCTTTTGAAGATTCTTATATGTCAGAATTAGCGTGTGTGTGTTCATAGAGATGAATGTATGCATGCATACAGTATACATGAGCGGTTGCGTATATACTGTGTTCTAAGAAAAACATGTTTCAAATGGAAAAAACAAAACTTATGTCTAGCACCACACTGAAAGAAAAACTCAAGTTGGTTGGCATCTGCCTACTGTCTTGGTTTTGTTACATCATTTGGACCAAAGAGCTAGATAAAGTACAAGCTGGAAAACGTGCAATGTCTGCTTGGAAATATGCCCGTTCATTTTTCCTGATCATCTTGAGATAAATATTGATCATTCATTTTTGCTGATCTAAGGGTTAATATTAGTCGATACTACTGGCTTAGATGTGTAGTATTCTCTGCAAAAAAGGCACAATCGGAAGAGTTGCAAAGCAGTAGTAGGCTTTCATCGAGACGGGAATCCAGCGCGATGATTCGGGAAAGATGAACAGAATCCGTACCGCCGAGCGTTCCGTCAGCGAGTATTGATTCGGGGAGCAGAGGAGCGGAGCTTGCCAGCAAGAGGGCAGCCGTCAACAAGACAAACCTGCCTCTGATGCTCGTCAGCCTCCCGTGCTGGCCCGCAATGCCTCACGACGCCGGAACCAAATGCAGACGACGAGCCTGGATCCACCCAGCTAGCTGCCGCTGAAACTTTGCGTCCCCTGCTCCCGCGTAGAAGAAAAGATGACACCTCTGTGTCTCAAAAACTGAATCATGAGATGGCTCGTGGGTGGCTAGGCTAGCTGCATGTAGGCACACCGGCGAGAGATTATAAAGCAGCCGATGTTCCAGTGAGAGGGGATGGACATGATTGGTGCCCTCGTCGGGAGGAAGACAATGATTGATTAGAAATTCCATCTTTAATAATATGCAATTATGAATTGACTAAACTGCCCTTTACATCAACCGTTGGATTAGATTTATACTACACACCCCAATCAGTAGTATGATGCGCTGTAAAATTTCTCCGAAAATAACGCGTTAATGTTTCTCAACAGAGGGGCCGAGGGAGTAGCATCGAACAACAGTTTTCTATCATGCGTGGGGCAATAGACTCTCCACAATGATCTACAGATACATGAATTATCTACTGACATAGCAGTACAGGATCAAATCTGCATCGGGTCACACTACTCGCCGCAGCTCTGCTGTGTTGAGTGCGAACTTACGGTGCTGTGACAACACGGACGAAATTACCAGGCTTTCCTTTCTCAGGCCAGATGCATCGTCGAGGAAAGATGGGTTTTCCTTGGCTCCGCTGAGTACTGCTTGAAAGATCTGCAATGGATCCCCATGGCTGACAATAAGAACAGCAGAGCTACATGCAGTTAAACATACAAGTCAGCTCCAGCGTGATATACGGAAGCACAGGTAAAGAAATGTCAAGCTGTAACTTGAACAAGTCATGCGTCAAATCTGCATGGAACTGTTAGAACTTCAGCATTCTGGACTACTAATTGATAGCTTGGCCAAGGCAGCTCTGTAACGTAAACCTTTTTAGTGGTTCCTCATGTTTAAGTACTTATCTGCACTCAATAGACTGTCTAAGGTAATTGTATGAGTTGTTATCACTATGTACCAAATTGTGAACCTTACCATTCTTTCCAGATAATAAGATCTCTAACAAAGTAGATGGAAAACTGAAAAGGCATAGCAAGACATGCAACTGTGCTTTACAAAAGAACACTGGACACTGAATTACAGCCTATCGGTTTATACTCTATAGATATATAATTTTTACTTCTTATTAACTGAAATTTATATTGATTGGTTTAACTTTAAAGCAAGCCATTTATATAGACTTCAGTAATGGTATAACACCAAATACATGTAACAGAACATGAATAAACAGATATATCATTTGGATTCCAATTCCAATAATAATGCAAGTACAAGTACCCATGAAACTCCACGTCTGCAGAAGACAGCACCCCTGCAAGTCTACTAGCAACATCTGCAACGCTCTCCCCACCTTCTGGGGCCAAAAAGGGATCTGCTTCATCTATTGCCCATACCTCTGCATACTACCGCATCATGTCAGATTTAATAACTGGCAAATAAGATAAGATCAAAACGGACACCACAGACAGCCAAAAGGAGGGTTTCCTCTTAAATGTTGAATGACACAATCTGCCCAAACGAAAGTTTAATGGTGCCCAGCAGACCAACCAACTTGGCGACGCCTCAATTATCATTGGCATACATTTAGCAGGCAATGGTATCTCTTGAACGTCATATGAACTCTCACTAATTGGAATGGTTGGGTAGAAGCAAATTGATCCACAGACTAACATCTGACAATATATATGTGCAATTGATCTATCAGTAGGTTGGAATAGATCATCATTCAACATACTAATGAAAATTTATTTGTTAAAACAGTGAACATTTGAATAGTTGATGCTCTATTATATGCACATTTGATGCCCCTATGAGTTTTGGTAAGCATGTTAATTCACACATTATTATAATTTGAAAGAATCTCCACGGTTCAATACATGAGTACAAACTAACCTTCTCGTGTGAAAGCAACTCATATGATGGTCCAAAATAACGTTCACGAAGTTCCACGGTTGCCTGCAAAAGAAACTCTGGTTGGTGGACTAGATGGTCACAATTAATGAGAAATACTAATTTTATGAAGAAAGTGATCCCTGATACTTCAGCAACTTTGAACGATTCCACTATATATTGTTGACCACGGAGACAACATCTAAAAGAGGATGATGTTGCAGTGAATGATAAGGCTAAACAATTGGGTTCACGACAACTAGGAGACAGAGCTGTTTTCAGCTGTAGCAGTTTTCGTTTCTTAGTTGTTTTAAAGGTCCCTTTTAATGGATTATTTTACAGGTTATGTTCACAGTATTATTGTTCTACAGAAATGACCATTAGTTACTGCCTCTTGCGACTTCTCTGAAATTGTTCACTTCATTATTGTAAAAGTAAGAGGCGGCAGTACTACTAGCTCTTGATACCGAGAAACACAAGCACTCCATTTTTTTCCTTTAGCTGGGCATCACAAGCAGAATTTTGAGAGGTGCAGATAGTTTGGTGATACACAACCTGTGGATGTATTAAACTACTTATCGTTTCATCACATACACAAATTGCCACAGTTATTATTTCTTCCTACAGATGGATAGAAAATTAGCAAATGTAAACCTCACAGTTATTACTTTGCAGGTTCCGTTCACAGTATAATTGTTCTACAGAATGACCAGCCTCTTGTGACTTCTCTGAAATTGTGTACTTCATTTCTGCAGAAATAAGAGGTGGCAGGACTACTAGCTCTCGATACCGGGAAACACCAATCACTCTGTTTTTCCTTTAGATGGGACTTCCACATGCAGAAATTTCGGATTATAGATAGTTTGGTCTTACAAGAGCGTGGATGTAATGAACCTATCACTTACATAAACAAATTATCACTGTTATCATCATTTTTTCCCTACCAGTACCAACACATGGAAAATTAGCAAATGTAAACCTTACTACTTCAGAAAGGTAAGTCATATCATGCCCAAACGAATCCAAAGGCTACGTCCTCCAGACAGATATCCGAAGTTCAAACATGAGGAACAGTGAGACTGAAATTACTTGCTTCACACCCATTCAGATGCCTATGCTACTTGGCTCACCAATATGAGAGACTTAGCATGCAATCCATCACCATTATCTTGATTAAAACTGAACAAGGTTCCATCTAGTAGTAGAATTAAGCCACTCACCTTGCAGCTAGGACCCTCAAATGGGACGCCCAGCACGCCGGCGACCACCCTGGCCGTCTCCGTCGTCCGCGAGAACGGCGAGTAACAGATCTTGACAGAGTCCACCGGCACACCCATCTCCTCAAGCTCCTGCACGCACAGAATCAGCCACTCCCCCCAATCGGCAATCGCTACCGCATATCCCCCATCCAAGGAGAAGCCATAGATTCGAGCTCGATCCCGTACCTTCCGGAGCGACTCGCCGGCGGAGCGCGCCTGCTCGACGCCCTGAGGGGCCAGCCCGAACTCCGGCTTCGTGCCGTTCTCCTGCCAGGACCGGAACAGTTAACTGAAGCTTCCGATTGGATTTAGCGATTGTGGCAGAGGGAAATCGAAGACGGCGAGCTGGGGTGGAGGGACTGGTACCAGGGAGGAGACGATGAGGCCGCGCTCGTTGGGGACGCTGCGGCCGTGGCGGAGGATCCAGTACCTGTTCCGGAAGGCGGGCGGCGGCGCCGGCGAGTTGCCGGTCGAACCCTCCATTTGCCCAACCCGCACTCTGCTACTCGGAAAAGAACCAAGTGTCTGAGTTAACATGTACAGTACAAGTAAGAAATTACAGTTTTTTTTTAACATATAAACGCTAGAAGCGTCCGGCTTTAATCTATCTATCTATCTATCTATCTACCCCTATAAAAACATGAAAGGGCGGAGAATCAATTCATCTTATCCATCAAATCGTGTGATTTGACGGTCTACATTGCTCCAACGTATTAAACATGTTTTATGCTTTAACTATCCACTATGCCATTAGCCTGGCCGCTATCCTCTAGTGCCTCTTTCAAAGTACTAAAACAAAACCGCTGCCTCCCGCTAACTAGCCACTAATCCAATGCACACACGCATCACACACGTTCTTCCCCAAAAACTAATCCCACTCAAATCTCGTCCCCTCGATCTCGATATGATCTGTCTTGGCAAACGCCTCCACCGCCAGGACGTCCTGCCGGGTCGGTGAACAAAGTACAAGTCACGTAAGGACCGACATGACAAAACTGAAAGAGATAGCAGAACATCTCTGAGCTTGACACCAACGCCCATCACCTACCTCCGGCACCACCACAACACCTATCGAAGAAAAGAATAGCGGATCACCTCCTCACCCGAACTTGACACGGCTCCATCACTGATATGCAGCTTTGCGGACCTCCAAGGTGGCTCACTAAAAGTGAAGCCGTTGCCGTTGAACGAATTAGACCGAGGCAACACCCCGGACATGCTATCGAACTCCAGATCTGGCGCGCCACGACTAAGACGCCGAAGGAGAAACATAACGCTGGGGCGACCCCTACTTCGCCGTGAGCACGCACGGCCACCTCTGCGTACGCCCCCACGTCCGTGACACGGCCCCCGGCATGGAGATCGACCTGTTAGAATTGTGTCGAATATTATTGTACAAGGTAGGTTACAGTTGGACTTGGTTTGGGACTGTGTGTAGACAGGGTAGGAGTCGTGTCCAAGTAGGGCACTTGTATCCTAGGCCTCTCATATATAGCGGGGCTAGACACATGATGTAACCTATGCCAACATAATAGCACGGGCACGCGGGGGAGCCGGCGGCGTGTGCTGGCGCCCGGGCGGCCAGAGTGCGGTATTGTGACGGTGTCATGGGGAGGAGCGCCCGTAGTCATGCCCCGGGGATGTAGCCATATCGGTGAACCTCGTTAACAAATCTCGGTGTCGTGCTTGTGTGATTGCTTAGTCCTCGGTAGATCGACATCGGCCTCGGATTTATTCTAACAAGTGGTATCAGAGCTAGATTGTTCGGAGACTGCGGATTGTTGATTTAGAGGAGGCCGAGTTGGTTCGTTGATTTAGTTCGTCACTGGAGACGATCGTGTATCAATGGATCGAAGCGGCGGTGAAAGCAATGGATGCAAACGGCGAGGCAACAGATCAGATCCAATCGTCAGAAGAAAAAGGCCATCGCTGGTTGTGACATCCATCAGAATTAGCAAGGGCAAGGCAAAGCATGTGCTAGCATCAGGAAGTTGAGTCAAGACAGGAGCTGCTACACGTGAGGACCAGAAGGATTTTTTGGTTGGAATTGCTAGTAGTACGTGGAAGACCGGAGGTTCTGTTCGTGTACTTGGGGCATCGCGTGCAAAGCTCGGATAATTTTTCACAGGGTCAGCCGTACAAAGAATCATGGCACCAACGGGTACCAGGTTTGAGGTGGAGAAGTTCAACGGAACTGGAAGTTTTGGGTTATGGCAGACAAGGGTGAAAATTTGTTGGCACGACAGGGATGCTTGAAGGCGTTGCAGGAAGTCAATTCAGCTAGGATGGAGTTGTGATGTGATGGATGGAAATTCGTGAAAGACGATTTGGGAGGCTTGAGCGTGTCGTTGCAGTCGGACGAGTTTCGACTGGGTCGGATTAGGCAGTCAGACGGATCGACGGAAGTCAGTTGGTACAGAAGACGATGGTGGGATCGGCGACGACGACATAGGAGCGTGATGCTGATGGTGACCGACTTCTGGGGCGCGGAAACACGTGGTGCAGGCTCGAGGGCTTGTGCGGCTTCAACAAGACTATGACGCAGAGTTGATTCAAGATGGTGCACACATGAGAGAGCTTGAAGTCGACAGGGCGCAGGGTAGCATAGCGCAGCTACATGGAGTCATGTTGAAGGTGGAGCTGGAGTCTGATGGACGACTTCACTCTGTGCTGATGGAGGGGCTACGGCGTAAATGCATGGAGAGTCGAAGCCTATTTCAGTGGGATAGCGAGAGACACGTGGATCGGACTGGGGCCCAATGGTCTGATGGAGACGTGATACTCGGCATCGGTCGGTGATGATCGATGGTTCTCTGCAGTGGGGGTTGAGGCAGTGTGGGCAAGCTACCCGGGAGACTCGACCAGGACAGCAGAGTCTCAACGCGGTGATAGCGGCGAGGCGTGCGGTAAGCACGGGACACAGCGACAGACCAAGGCACTAATGGTAGACATGTGGTCAGACAAAATTGTGCAAAGGGTGCTGAAGCAGTGTTGACGAGTACCAGATTCAAGTTGGTGACTGGGTCTATCGGTACCAGAAGATGGACATGAGTTGACCATGAAGAATCTGAGAAAGTGACGGAGAGTCTGGAATTGTCAAAAGCTGAGAGAGTACATGGCCGTATATTTTGTGGTGTTCAGTGCACATGGCAAAGTGCGGATGACAAATACAGAAGGAGGCGGAGTGCTATAGCGGTGGGACATGTCAGAGACTATCCGGAAGAAGGGTGAGACAACTGCGAATTTGACTCAGGGTGACACAAGGTGACGGTGAAATTCCTTCAAGGTTCAGACAAGCAGTCAAGAAAGAGCGGTGACGTTGAGTTCAGGTAACTCTTATATTTGACGTCCAATATGTGAGTTGTTCATTTTCATGCAGACAATGGTTGGTGTGTGATGGTGTTGAACGGATTCTTCGGAAGTTGGGAGCACAAAGTAGAGTAACGAGGAACTTAATTTTTGCTCGAGCGTTGACTGTGATGAAGACGAGAAGGGACTACAGTTGCAGGTGGAGTCACATGGAGTCTGGGAGTAGCAGCGGTGCTCATGACGTATCTCAAGTTCAATGTACATGAATGTTTGACGCACGGACGAACTCAAGATGGTGGAGAATATTCGCCAAGGTGGAGTTTGTTAGAATTGTGTCGAATATTATTGTATAAGGTAGGTTACAGTTGGACTTGGTTTGGGACTGTGTGTAGATAGGGTAGGAGTCGTGTCCAAGTAGGACACTTGTATCCTAGGCCTCTCATATATAGCGGGGCTAGACACACGATGTAACCTATGCCAACATAATAGCACGGGCACGCGGGGGAGCCGGCGGCGTGTGCTGGCGCCCGGGCGGCCAGGGTGCGGTATTGTGACGGTGTCATGGGGAGGAGCGCCCGTAGTCATGCTTCGGGGATGTAGCCATATCGGTGAACCTCGTTAACAAATCTCGGTGTCGTGCTTGTGTGATTGCTTGGTCCTCGGTAGATTGACAACGGCCTTGGATTTATTCTAACACGACCTGCTCTCCGTTATCAACCAAGTCGCGGCGACGAACACGACGACCGCCGATCACGCCGGCAAGAAGAAGATGAAGCTCAAGTTCCCCATGATTCTCCGCTTCCCTGATGTGCTCCGGCACCGGCTCGACGCGCTCCATGTCGCGTTCGCGGCGGCCATCAAGCACACGGGGTACCACTCCGCGTACCATGGGGTGTTCCCGGTGAAGGTGAACCAGAACGAGGCGGTGGTGCAGGACATGGTCCGCTTCGGCCACGAGCACGACCACGGGCTCGAGGCCAGCTCCAAGCCGGATCTGCTCACCGCCATGAGTTGCCTCCTCACCAGGGCCAAGTCGGGCGCCTACCTGGTGTGCAACGGCTACAAGGACAAGGACTATGTCGCGCTCACCCTGGCGGCGCGTGGCATGGGCTTCAGCGCCGTCATCGTGCTGGAGATGGAGGAGGAGCTCGACATCGTTGTCGAGCAGAGCCGCAGGCTCGGCGTCGAGCCGACCATTGGTGTTCATGCCAAGCTGCTCACTAGGTTACTGGGCTATTTCGGGTCGACGACCGGCAAGCACGGCAGGTTCGGGCTGCTGGCCGAGAGGATCTACGATGTGGCGTGGAAGCTTGGGGATCTACGATTATTATTATTTGTTTATTATGTATCAATGTGTCCACTATGGTAGTAGTGGTGGATGTGGAAAATAGTTCGACAATATAAGTTGATGTGTATAAGGATTCACAAGTACATGACACGTGTTAAACCACTATAATATTTATGCCAGCGTAGCAATGCACGAACAATGAACTAGTTGATCTTAAAGGGTGAAAACATTCTCTCTTTTTGGCAACTGGGTGAAAGCACTTCATTGTTCTTTTTTAACTAAGGGAATATTGCTTTCCGACCAACATCGTATAACTAGACACATCCATAGATCTTGATCTAGATCTCTGGTTTACCTAGATATTCATTGCAACTGAATTCAAGACGCTTCTCAATAATCAACCCACTTGTATGGACTCATGCGAGGCAGTCCATGCCCAAAAAATAAAGCCTACAATGAAAAGGGTGCGCCTATACAAGAAGTCGGAGGTGGTATTAAGGTTAATACTTCTTTTCAGAGAATGATATTTGGTTAATACTGGATTCATCATGGCACTTCAAATCCCACATTAGCATTTCCCCAACTTTCCTTCATCGTTTTTCTTTTTCTTTATTTTCCCCTTTCTAAAAATGGAAGCTTTCTTTTAACTTGCTGCTGCTTCAACTGTTTGTTACAATATGAAAAACATAGCCAAATCAAAAAGCCTAGCAGTGGTACCACACTACTGACATATGGATATAATTTTCTTTCGAAGTTTTCCTTTTTGCGAAGCACAAATACAAAAGCTCACAAACACGTACATATCCTTTTGAGCACCTTGGAGAAACTGAACCGGCGGACATTGAGATTGACGAAGTCATTATAAACGTCTTGCTGTCAAAGCTAA